GTTTGAAGTCAACTGCCGATTTATGGACTTTTTTGCCGTATGAGTATACGTTGCCCAGGGTGCACCACGTGGAGGTAAGTCTATCGCACAGCCCGAATGTTAAAACATAATTTTATTTAAATTTCTATAGTGCTGAATAGCTTTAATTAAAATGTAATGACACTGTTTCTAAGTGAAGTAGAAATCAAATGAAATACGAAAGTACACTTGATCAACACATCTTAAAATGAAACGCAAGACCCAAACACTATCCATTTCAGCATATTGATGAGAGTAGACAGGAGAACTGTTCTCAGAGCGACATTCCCTTCTATTGACAATTATAAATTTAGGTGCCTTGGTTACCATGTAGGTTTCTTCACTATCACAAACAGGCCTTAATACTNCTTACCTCCACGTGGTGCAGCCTGGACAACATATACTCATACGGCAAAAAGTCTATTATTCGGCAGTTGACTTCTGACTTCAAACTACCATCACCCCACTGTATGTCATATTCGACTACTTCCACAGTACTCACCTCACGTTTTTCACTCTACCTTTGTGTCTGTCTCTTTTACATCTTTGAAATACTCTTCTGTTCCCCCCTTCCCCTCTCGACTTTTTTCACTTTGATGTTCCTTCTTCTCTGTGAAGCCTGAAGTCAACTAAAGGGCTAATAATAACCTCCACAACACCTGCCATTTGATATAAATAAATAAATTTTTTAATTATTGAAGATTTGAGAATTAGTTGATAGATCTATCGAGTTCTTGGTTAAGGGTTGCAAGGTTCTATGGAATAAAATTTTTTGGCAAAGACAACCTCTCAGTCAACTCAAATTATCAAGTCTGTAAATCATAGTTTATCTTCTTTAATTGATCAAAGATTTTTGCGTAATTCTTGCAAAATATATCACTGCTTATACTTATTTATTTATCATATCAAATGGCAGGCGTTTTGATAGTTACCAAAAACCCTTTAGTTGTCTTCAGGCTTCACAGAGGNGCGTGATAGACTTACCTCCACGTGGTGCAGCCTGGACAACATATACTCATACGGCAAAAAGTCTATTATTCGGCAGTTGACTTCTGACTTCAAACTACCATCACCCCACTGTATGTCATATTCGACTACTTCCACAGTACTCACCTCACGTTTTTCACTCTACCTTTGTGTCTGTCTCTTTTACATCTTTGAAATACTCTTCTGTTCCCCCCTTCCCCTCTCGACTTTTTTCACTTTGATGTTCCTTCTTCTCTGTGAAGCCTGAAGTCAACTAAAGGGCTTATGATAACTATCAAAATGTCTGCCATTTGATATAAATAAATATTTTGCCCGGTTGAAAATTGGACTTTGTAGAGGGCTTTTGGCACCTTATAATGGTGTTTGAGAGAGCAACTGTATAGCCATGGCTATTCTGAAGTTACCTTGACCTCTTCATTATCCGTCTGTAGTTCTGTGTATTCTGTAGCTTGTATAGTAGCAGACATTCAAGATATATATGAAGATCCGTTAAGCCCAGGAGTGTGAAAGCGACATTAATCGGGGGAAATAAGCAGAGAAACTGATATATCCGGTTACAATGTATTTACCGCCTTGTATGTTAGGCTTTCTCTATGAAATTTGTCAACAGGGAAACAGAACTCTCGAGTTCAATCATAGACCCCCTTTCTATCAAGTCGCTAATATCGTATCTGAATCGTATGAAACGCATATTTCAAACTGCTTTTTCCAACCCTAGCTTACAGTATATAAACATGCAAGAAAAACGCATAATTTGAATAAAACTTATCTCACCATATAATAATTTATTTATTTATATTAAATGGAAGGCGTTTTGATAGTTATCATTAGCTCTTTAGTTGACTTCAGGCTTCACAGAGGGGAAGACCGCAATTCTCCATTATGCTTCCCCAGTTTCACCACGAGTGAAAGCAATCGATGACTGTGTAGCCTGATCTGACCAATAACTTGGAAGGTAACCAACTTCAAATGATAAATAGAAAGACATTTATTATTGCCTTACGTACTATTGATTAGGATATTCAAATTTTTCAAAAAGACGTAGAGCCAAAGATTACAACGTACACTATCAGAAGTTCTAAATCTCCTTGTTCATTTCCTGATTGCCTTCTGGCAATGTGGGCTAGAAGGGAGCTTTTTCTGAGCATGACCTAGATTGTAACACGTTGAGGACAAGGGCGAATCTTAAGGGTTTTGAGTACAATCCCCAAGTGCACGCAGAGCGGACCATTGGGTAAACCACAGTGGGAGTTCAGTGTGGTCATAAACTAAATTAGGTTTTATAGTCCGTGATCGCAGCGGAACCAGTCGGACATGGGAGGAAACTTCCATCTTATCCCAGAGTTATTATAATTTATCCTTCAGGATCGTTGTCCCACCCCCCCCCCCCCCCCCCCCCCCTCCCCCCAGTTCTGCAACCTATAGACTTTACGTCCTTTCATGTCTAATTGGCCTATTAATATAACACGATATATACATGCTGTCTCTTTAACACGTGATTAAACTGAAAATGGTCCAAAAAAGGGGATGGCGACAAGGTTTTAGCCACCCCGGGGATCTTTATAATTTAAACAGTCGTTTTTGCAAGAATACGTCTTCGCAATATACTATAGTAACGACGCCAAAGATGGCCGCCTATGTGACACGAGTTAATTGCAAGCCGATACAAAGCATGGACTTTACAACCTCGATTTGTGTTAGTCGGTGTTTTCCATGTAGATAAAGAATGACAAGAGAACATCTCATAGAATGCGAATGGACCCAGACAATTCTGAACTCATTCACTTTATTTACCATGTTAATACAAATCCTCTCCATTGAATCCTATTTGCCGACCCCCAGTATTATTAAGAATATACCTTAGTACATTGGCTCAAAAAATGGCTGTACCACTACTCAAGCGATTAGTTTTGATGGCGCATGTTGCTTGTGGTTAACACCAGAAAAGTTAAAACTCGCTAAGGTAAGGAAAATTAATCAGATCAAAGAACGAGATATCATAAATATTATTTTACTTTTGCCACACATTTTTAATACATTTATAGTTAATAATAAGGCACACCGCTATTTAACAGGAAGCTAAGAGCAACAAAATTTAGCAGCACTAAGCATTAATTAACTTAGGAAATGGGACATTGAAACTGCAGCGTCTATATAATACAAGTCAGTTGGCAAAACGAGCGACTTTGCAGCTTCTTTTTAACCGATTGGAATTGAGCATTGGGTAGAAAAAGGTGCATTCTGTGGTACAATCTCCCCCTCCACAACAGTCAACCTTTTTTCATTCACTTCCTTTTTATTATTCTCATCAATCTTCGTCTCGTCTTCAAGATCCTCGAGAAGTTCTGGTATTGTAGAAGAAGCATCTTCTGAAACTTCTGTTTCCTTATCGGAGAGTTCATAGTCTGGAGATGAGAGAATATCTTGAGTGTTCAGAGGAGCTAGTTTATTTTGTTCTGGATAGATCCAAGGTTTAATCGATGGCGAATTCTGAGCTTTCCATTCAGGATAGGCACGAGCAGCTTTCACTAACTTGGAAACGGTAGTTGGAGCGATGATCTGAGCGATTTTGTTTACAGCCCAGGCAGGAAATTTTCCTATAAAAGTAAACAAATTGTCAATTTTGTCTGCAAGCAGTTGGGGGACACCTGAACTGTGCCTAAAGGGTCTAACTCCCGTGCCATAGAATATTGATTTTTGATATTTCAAGCATTTCGCCAGGGAATTCAATCTCCACTGATGCCATTAGAGGAAATAAAAAACAGCTTAACATATCCCAGGTGCTCAAATCTACTCCCGAAAATGTTCTTTCCATGTAAATAACTCGGAAGTTGAGCATGGATCATGCACCCCCTCCCCTCCATCCTTCTAAGTCTGAGTAACAGTATACATATCGAGACAGATGCCAGTTGGGAGCATACCAATGGCTTCATACTCTTAAAGTAGAGGTGAAATAGCTTAATAACTGACCTTAAAGTGTTGCACTAATAGGGCCTTTTAATGGAGGTCTGAAACACTAAAAATGTGATCTCATAAAACCGCCCCCATAAATGATATTTTGAAAGTCATAAAACGCTTGACTTGTATTGCAAAATTAATTTTTTTGCAAATATTCATATCGAAGTGAGCTACAAACTTGTCAATTCAGATTGAGCCAGAAATAAAATTACGTGAATTTATGATGCAGTCCAATCGTAGCAATTCATTCAAAACGAAAAAGCTCCTTAGAGCATAAAGTAGGATAGATTTCTTTAAGTATGGTAGGAGATAAGATTTTGAGAACACTCTAACCATATAATTAAGTCACGAGATCTATACGATTTATGACTAGGGTTCATCCTGACTGAATTTAATTAGCGAAATAGCGTATGCTCTTTGAAAGAAGTGGACGAAATGGGGTTGTTACACCGATAACCCCACTTAATTAACTGACCAGTAAACACTGTATTTCCCAGATAAGAATTTGCTCAGTGATAAAATTGAAATTATAAATGTTTAACTGCAAAACTTGAACTATTTGCTAAGTAAATACAGCACAAACTGATTCGAAAACTCAAGTGAACAAGGACTTTGAAACGTTGACTTTAGTCCGTAACTGCCTTCTATGCTCCTCTCACTTAAATCTTATTAAAGATTATTTTGCTCTTAACAAATTTCAGTCGTTAACCGCGATTTTTGACTGGGGTTATTAGAAAAAACAAACATATAAGAGGATCCAATGAAATGAAGCACTAAGAAAGCCATTCTTTTAAGCTGTGACAATGTGCGGAATGTATTGATTTGGAGCACGATCGAGAAATGTCTTACACAAAGTGATAAACGCTTTTATTCTTTTAATATGCAACAATTTTTTTAATAAAAAATCGGCTTTGAAGTCTATTTCAGCAACTCGACAACATAATGAGGTGAATATTATTTCCATGAGATTAATACACTGTAGACAGCAAGGAAATTCCATAATTCTTATATTTGTAAAAAAATTGGCAATCTTAATTAAAAACTGATGTGGATGCCATTGCTAAAATACCATTTCAAAGGATCTTGACTGCAATTTTGCCATTATTAACGACGTTTTTATAGAAACAAAAGTTATGCCAATTTATATGATGAAGGTTAGCATAATAAACAAAGGGAATACAAAATGAGTGTGGAATCGTTTTTTGACAGTGTTAGACATAGATAACACCTAACAAGTTTACAGCCCCCTTTGTCATAAACAACTAATTGAGATTAAGAGTGGCAGAAAATGACCCCATCATCAAAATTAGAAAGGTTTGTGATTACAACTAAATATCTACTCTCCGTTATTTGGGAGAGAAAACCTAGCAGAATAGCACGTTTATTCGTATAATTACATCGATTGACCAATGAGATATGAATAATGATGGGTATTAAAGAACGACCGAACTTAGGGATGAAAAGTATAGAATTTCGAGATGTAAGAACACAATCCTGCGAAGTACTTCCAGTAAGTGAAGATTCGTCAACATGTTGAAGGCAGGATTCAAGTGACATTATACCCTACTTTTCATCCCTACTATTGGTGTATTCTGTGCAAAGTATATTCTTACGGCAAAAAGTTTATAAACTGGCTGTTGACTTCTGACTTCAAACTACCATGACCCCACTGTGCGCCATATTCCACCACTTTCACGGTACTCACCTTACCTTGCCTTTTCCTCTACCTTTGTGTCTGTCCCTTTTACGACTGTGATACACTCTTCTAATCCCCTTCTCGATTTTTTTCCAATTTGATGTTCCTTCTCCCCTCTGTGAAGCCCGAAGCCAACTAAAGGGCTAATGATAACTATCATAAGGCCTGCCATTTGATATAAATAAAATAGATTAGCCCTACTTTTAAACAATTTTCCTCTCTTTACAACATATTGGGTGACCTGCTGTTCACAGTAAGTTAAACTTGGTCAAATTTATTGCTTGGATGTGGGTAATAATAATAATACCCATTGATTAATAGGAGCTCTGAGGGAGTCAAGATAATTACCCACGCAAGCTAATTGCCAATAAAATGCTGCCTGATAAGATCGTGATCGAGAATGTGAATAGACATGTGCAGTTGGTCACGATCACAAAAAGCGGTGATGATTACACATGAATACATTGACACAATGCAGAGTTGGAACAAATCGACAAAAATTCTTCGTCAAAATGTTAGCGTCTTTAACTGCCAATAAAGTTGCAATTCATAGGGTGCTTTCAGGCCTTAGATTTTAAACATTTAAGTAACAAAACACACAAACACAATTCGGTCAAAAGTCGTGTACTTACTAGATGCCAACTGCATTGCGTGCACTTAATAAACAAGGAGGTGAATGTGGAAAGCAGAAGGACAGAAAAGGACAGTTGAAATTGGAATATGGGAAGTTAATTTATCTGGGAATCACAAGGTTGAACGAGGATATTAGAATTCACTGGTTAACTGCGGCAATTACCGCACAAAAGACCGGAAAGGCAAAGAGTATACTACTCGAACAAAAAAAACATATCAAAGGAATGTTCAAGAAATTTGAAACGAAAGTTATTAGAATGCAAATTTAAGATATTGAAGAAGACCTACACTCCACTAGGGATACAACTACAACTTAAAAGAAACAATCTAATTGAGAGTCTCACTATTTTCCAAGTCAGAATGTCCGAAATAAAGTGGCATTCAAATACCGCAATCTGTTTCGCACGCAGCTGCCATCAGTTCATCAAATGAGGATCAACATTTTAGTTTGCCTTTATAAATATCGACACTGATCAACAGAAACAAGGCATTGTAATAACATTTTGGCTGAGATTCCCACAGGAGGTACATATCAGAGTAAGAAAGAACGCAAAAAGTTCAACCAACTCTCTCACAACTCTGCCTCTTTACATCTCTGCTTACATCTCTTCAAATATCACTCCCCTACAGGTGATTTACTACTACTTTTAATTTCTTCTGACCACTTGATGGGGAGGACTTAGCAGAGCCACTAGGCCTAAACTAATCAGACTCCATTGATATTCCTATTTGCCGCTAAGAGAAAGAACACTCTAAGCCCTATAAATTGTACATTGAATAATTAATTGAAAGGACTCACTACTGCTTTATAGAGCATATTTTTGAAGACTCCGGAACACCAATATCAAATACTAGCAATGCTTAATGCACCTCGTTTACGGACAAGTGTGTCATATTAATATTAACAACCAGGAGAGCTAACCAACTACATTAGCAACTTCAATATCAAAGGCTAATAGTAAGTGACAACACTACCTAATCAAACATTAGGCAAAACTCATTGTCAAAAGAGGGATGACTTCATGGAGATGGAGTAGTTGGGAGATGGGATCTTGAAGACAGTAGCTACATTTATGAAAATTTTAACCAACTTAGAAGTTAGATTTCAATGAACTGAATCAGCTAAACTGAGAGATCACGTCTTGTACAACCAAAGTGAAAAGACCAAGTTTCTTTTTTTAAAAACTGTTGGTATCAAACACATTTCAAACGCTACCTCCAATGGAAATTTAGAAACGTAATATCTAAGCTACTGGCATCTTTCACAAAATTATTAAAATATTATCAAAATTCAAACGGTTATAAAGATTTCATTATCAAAATGATTGATTGACGTCACCCAATATAGTTCACCGTCAAGAATTTTGCGTGCTGTAACTGACAGAGATTTTCATGCTCTCACACGCCCTACCGCGTCATAGCTGAGCGGAAAAGTTTGTCACCCTCCTCTTGACAAGTTTTACATAACCAGAAAAACGGTAAAAACATGATAATTCTTGTTGTATAAACAAAATCGTGAATTAACCAATCATCGATTATTATTCAGTAGTACTTTAAAGTAATCTTTGGCTCTCATTAAGTCAACTATGGATAAGAGTATCAAGCGTAAAAATCAATTTTCAAAATGCACTCAAGGTTCTTTTACTAACAGAAAATCGATTCGGATTGAACCCCAGTTTTAATTAACAGGGTGTTTTGATAAAGAATTCAACCCGCAAGTGCGCAAATTCAGACCGAAATTGCCAAAAGAAATTTATGAGAGGAGTCTCGCTTTGCTACGGATAAAGGAGAGGGAAATGACTTGAGTCTCGTATGCGGCTTTGCGTGATCTTCTCAAGCCCACATTTTAAATTTATTTAAAAGAAGGGTTTCATTGTCTAAATTTATGGGGTTGAAATGCGGTTCAGTGTTCCAAATAATGACAATTTGGCCAAAATTAAGGAGAGTTTTAAAAATAGAAAATTGGGCTTATCTACAAAAATTCTCGATTTAAAAGCATAAAATGAAAACTTTCTCGTTGAATTAATATATCTAAAAATGTATATGGTTTTAAAAAGTTCAAAAGCAATATCGAATAACTTATCATAAGTCAGCTAACTTCTGAAAGATCAAAAAGTAGACGTAGTTTCTTTAGCCGCAAATAGCCACCCCCCACCCACTGGCGGTATAAAATTCAAAACTGACAAGCATATGTCCAGCTGATTACTGAGTGGGTAAAAATATTTAAACACCTACAAATTGAGTGAATTCCAAAATAGTTTTACAATCATTTTTTACCAAAACAGTATGGCAATCTGCTTATATTTGATCAGTTAAAGATCACGAGATCGAATCTTATCTGTGAATATTCAGTAATATTGATGACCAGCCGCGACGGAAAATCCGGATCAATGGAATATGCATTTCTAGCATTTACTTCGATATACTGCGCTTTCACAAAAGTCAAATTTTGCTAACAAATCCATTTCGATATTCAACAAACAACACGAATAAATAATAGTATAATTTGTTTTAAATAATGTTTTACGTTTGGCCTAAAACTTTAGAATTATTTTAAGTTTTGAAGCAAATTTTGCTCTCAAAATTGAATAATTATTTTGGTAGAACTCTTGATAAAACCACTATTAGTACAGTCTTTACACGAAAGAAAGTTTTAGGTCATTGACCTAACCAGCACACAACCAGGGGAATAGATTACTAAGAGAAGTTAATGAAAGCTAAAATAGAGATGATGGGCATAGACAAAAGATAGCAAAATGGGGAAATGGGAAATCTTGATTTCAATTTAATTTGCTTCATCGCAGCGAAGGCTATATGTTGTAATCATGAGGATAATCAGCAAGCACATTAAATGAGAAAAACATATTATGAAAATCTAATTATTCTTTATAATAATAGCTAGAAAATTCAAATGGTTGCTTAAGAGAGCGAAATTATAAATGCTCAATAATTGACGATTCTAGACTGTTTTATAAAATATAGAAATCCATTTTCACAATTTGCTTACCACGGGGATCTGATTGAGTAACAAATCCAAAAAAACAAGAATTCGGGCCAGTTTTTCGGACAATGTAACCACTCAAATACGAAATGGCACGAACATACTCTTTCTTGGGGGGTGCGGCCTGAAGGAAATGTTTACGTAATTATGAAAAATCAATATTGTAAATAAGAAATAATTTTAATTACTGCATGGAAAACAGAATGGTTCATAATGACATATTCATTTTCATATGTAAACCATGATCGAAGCGTAACGGAATCCCTGTTTTTAAAAGGAGGAAATGACTTCACTTAAAAACCGGTAAGTTGAATGAGTTCTTACCAAGGTAGTAGCCAATGTCAGTATTAGGACTGACAAGACATAAATCATAACCTTCAATCATATGTTTATCCCATGCTCTTCGATAGTCAGGATCCATTAGTGTATCATACATATCCGAGGCGGCGAGTTCAGTTGCATCGACTTTGACTTTAACCATGTGTATGGAAGAATTATCTGCACATTTTACATACACAGTAGTTCCTTTCTTCGTGAAAGCTTTCTTCCACGTTGAATCATCGTCCATCAAATTTCTAAAGACTTTGACGTCATGCTCTCCGGCAGGACGCACATCGCCAACGGTAAATGATGCCATTGAATGGTGGGCGGATGGATGACCTAAAAGTAAATAAATTTTAGTTACATTAAACAAGAATTCCTAAATCAAATGCATTTTTGAATATGTTCGTTTGTACTTAAAACCGCATTCAAACTAGTTTAATAAACAGGTGAAATAATATAACTGAGTTCGATTATTGTACTCAACAAGATGAAAATCAGAACCACTAGACTTTGTATTTATAAATGCCTTTGGTGCACAAGCTCAACCATTTTTCAAAAAATTAGTGAAAATTCCATTAAAGAGATCCATTTTAATCAATGCCTGGACCTTTATACATCAGTATAGATTTTGACTTTGATTCATATTAGTTAATTGAAGTTAGTGTATTAAATGCATTTCATGTAAATTGTATATAGGAGTCATCACTATTGTGTGCTTGAGTACAAAATTTCCATGTAAATTTGAAAATTAAATAATTATTGTTAATCAATGGTATTTTTATGGTGATCGAGTCTAGAATATCGTAACTAATATAATCAATAATTGTTTGAATATCATATCGGATATACGAATTAAGCAGGCAGATGTAAAGCCTGCAGTTCTGGTAAATTAAAGATAGAGTTCTCTATGATCTTACAATAAAATTTAAGGTCGATGAGAATAATTTTTATTTTGACAAACAATTTTAAGCTTTAATTTCGAATTCATGAAAAACACTTTCTTCTACTATCTGAACTATCTTGAATCAGAATTCGGAATTTGAAGCGACACAACATTACAAGATATAAGAGGTCAACCTTCTATCCACAGGTTTATATTGGTCGGGAAAATGAACACCATACATGTCAATTTCAGATAAAATATGTTGAAGGATATAGCTAAGTGGAATACCCTTTCAATGTGGTGAAAATGATAACAGGAGACTAATAACCTGTATTAGAATTTTTAACACTGTATTCACGGTTAATTTCTTCTTCATGATTATGTTACTTCCAAAAGTAAATGTATTCAATTTATCAGTAGCCAAAATTATGACTGCCGTTATAAATACTCCATAATTATAAATTCAATGGAATATTTTAGCCACACTTTGTTTTTTTAATTTGATTTAACTGCTATTTTAGGACTTGCAGACAGTCCAGTAATTATGACAACTTGATCATATTCATATTTCATTCGAACATATGTATTTATGTTTAGATGGATATAAAGATAAAGCACAGGTAGAAATAATGCATTTCAACCTTATAACTTCGTACTTTTCAGTGAATTGATTCGATTAGTATAGTTCACTGATTTGTGGCCTTGTTGTAACTCAAACCGTAGCATCATTGAAGAAATGAGCGAGATCGCTTGTACCACTCGAAAGGCTTAAAGTTGACTGAGGAGAAACTTAGATTTATTTGTCCTATCAAAATTTAGTAATTGCTTAGTAGAAGTGTTTTGTTTTTGGTCGCTTCGCATACATGTAGAAACCTCTAATCAAATAGCAATCGGTTAGCAATCTTAATCACCGCCATTTACAATGTTATATACACTCTTAATGTATTAATAAGCCATCACGGTATATTAAAAACAACGTTAAAAAGTTGCTATCTTAATGGCAAATGGTTGATGCCTCCGTACTAAAATTTTGTTGGAGAAAAGTGACCTTCAGTATTGCGTCCCCATTCTCGTATTACCTGAGTGAACATGGATTATTTAGACCAGCGAATTTTCATTTCTGTTTGACTTTTGGCCTAAGTCTTACCTTTATGCACCCATTTTTAAATCCCGTTTAATGCATCTTTCAATGTCTTCTCCGTGTGATTTATTCAACAATATGCTAGCCGTTAATTAATTTTCTCTCGATTGGGGTGTGCGATAGGCTTACCTCCACGTGATGCACCATGGGCAACGTATACTCATACGACAAAAAGTCTATTAACCGGCAGTTGACTTTTGACTTCAAACTATCATGTCCTGACTGCATGTCATATTCGACCCCTCCCACAGTACTTATCTTACCTATTCTCTGACTTTGTATTTGTCAATCTCCTTTAAATCTGTTAATCATTATTCTGTCCCTCTCCCGTCTTTTTGTCACTTTGATGTTTCTCCTCCCCTCTATGAAGCCCGAAGTCAGCTCCAGGGCTAATGGTGACTATCAAAACGCCTGACATTTGAAATAAATAAATAATTAAATAAATTTTCTCTCGATTTACTCCTCTGTATACAAGTTAATTTGTCATTTTCCTTAACAAAGCATAAATTTTCCTTTTGCAAAAACTTCATTTGCTGGTGTGAAGAGAGTGATAGCTTTGTCTCTTTCTAATCCTCCTGTAGAATGTGCAATATCCGTCATGAAACTAACAATCTATGGAAGTCAAATACAATTTTAAATAATACTTGTAAAGATTAAGTGTACCATTTTGCAATTAGGCAAACTATTTGACTTTCAAAACACTACAGTTGGCTTTCAGTTGGTTAAAAGTTGATTTTATTTTACTGTCTTGAGAGCTACTTCATTACAAACAATGATAGTCAATGGAAAAATAATGCTTTAATGTACGCTAACTAGGGGAATTCATGCTATTCATAAGGCTTGAACAATGTCGCATTACGTTCACTGTCATTGGTTTCAAAGTTATATCACTGGAGTAAATAATCATATGACTACATTTCCCATATCAAGAAAATAGAGTCAAGAGTGGACAAAAATGCATTGAATTGGATAGGTTACAGCTGGAGTGGCGGATAAAGAAAGCAATAAGGAATGAAAGAGAATAAGGGGACGAAGGATGAGGAAGTGAAAGTAAGGTTACAATTGTTGCATGATCGATGTACTTGGGATTGTAGGAGTGTCTGCGTAAGAGAGGCCAGAATATCAATGTTCGTAAAGCTGAAACTGCGATTTCGCCAAGTGAATGGTTAGGCGGGTGAAATGTGCCGATTGTATTCAGTTTCAGCAACCTAAAATTGTGATAAAGCACAAATTGGAGTGAAATGAAATCATTTAAAGCGTTAGACGAAACTAAAATTGACAGCTGTTAGAGTTGCAACGCTTCGACGTCTATTATGCACAAAGAAAATTATGACTGCAATCTCGTTGTGCATTTATAAAACAATTTAATTCGTACAAGTCAGCCTAGATTGAGAACAGCCAATGAATTCGTTACAATACGAATGAATAAAACTCTGAAATTGTGACTATTACGTCACAATATCAATGCCAAAGTTATACTGTAGAAAAAGGCAAACGTGGCCTCAGTACAGCCTGTGCTTAAAAGTGGAAACAGGACTACTCTGATAAAGGCGTTTGCCTTGACCTTCTATCAAGCTGTCATGATCAATGTGATTTTGACGACATAGATTTCTGCTAAGCTGGCTGCCAATGCCGAGCATAATATCATTTCTGTGCACGTTTGGTTTTTTTTGTGACAATCCGTAGCAAATAAAGGCGTATTTTCTGGCCCCATTTGTGGGCTTGCAAAATTACTCATTCTCATAAATACACTTGAATGTAATTAGTGCGAAGTGCAAGAGTGGGTTCTAAAAACTCCAATTTTTTCATGCATACATTTCATTTTTTATTCCTAGATGTCTTCGAAACAGATTTTGTCGATACAAATGTAAAGTACAAAAATATTTTTAAACTTATTTTTTGATGTTTTATCAACAAAATTGTATCATCACTAGCATAAGTGAATTGACAAATTGTAATTGGGCAGATTATAAGAAAAGTAATATTTATCAATTGGTAATTGAACTAACCCCAGTCGATGACGTATGAGAGGAAGGAATCAATAGTAGAGCAGTAGACAAAGGACCTCCTTTGTCCTTCTGGTCTTTTGAAAATCGTCTTCAACTTACGAATATCACCGTCAATCTCAGTGTCTGAAGTTCCAATAGTGCGCATAAGTGGCATGCTAGGCCATGAATATGGAAATATGTCTGGTTAAAACTCAATAGCCTACCGCATTTTGGATAGCCATAGTCAGAGCAGAGAGTATTGGTGGCGTTCATGATGGTGGTCTGGAAAAGTAAATGAGAACGATTGTAATTGAGAACATTTGAAAGCAATCTCACAATCTCACTAAGCTGACCACTAGAGAGAATGTGACACGATGAATAAAAAGAGCATACTACCAATGAGTATGAGTTTCTAATTCTCCCTACCTACTTTATACATCATGACGCATACTCTGACCTTTCCAACACTTCATGCCTCTTTTAGGGCCTCATTAGTGACTAGGCTTTTCCCTACAATGAAGAGAGCTAGAAAGTACTCCTCTTGCAGGCATTTATCTTCATTTGTACAATAACACTGTTTACTATTCAGCTTACAAATGGTCCATGTGGGCAAATGTCGTGGCGGGCGCAGACAATTTCAACTTCTGACATGCCAGCAGCATCGATCTCACCCGCACTGGAGAACTGAGGTTGAATGCAGTCTGAAAGAAAGAAATAAAATTGAGAGTGGCTGTGTTATTGACACCGTGTCATTTCAGAGAGCGCTAAACTTACTGTCTTCAATGTTGAGGTATTGGTGACATTTTGTGAAGTAAGCAGTGACGTAGGCGTGGCGTTCGTCCTCCAGGTATTCGTCAACATTGAAACCAGTCCAGACGTGGGCCGCGGCATTACAGACAACCGCAGTAGCCAAGTAGGTACCGTCATCGTCTGTTTCAACAACATGCGAATGAATTAAACATAGATTGAAGAGTTGGTGTTTGTGTGTATGTGTGGAATGCGAAGATACTTACATTCAATGGATGAGCATTCAACGGCATCATTAGGATTGCAAGTATTTACACAGAGGCCCTTACCATTGAATTTGTAGTCAGTTTTGTCAATGCGAAGTTCCTAAGAGGAGGTTTGTGTGCGTGTGCGTTACAGATTCTGTTAGTTATTTATGTAGACAAAGTGGAGTAAAAGTAAGAACTGAGAATTATGTGTTAGATTACCGAGAATGGCCCAGGAACCGACGAGTAAACAGGGACACAACCCTCCGACGCATCAACAGTGTACTCTGCGCCTGATTCAAATAAAGTGTGATTAAGGTAGATGACATAGGTAGTTTTACAGAAGGCGGCTGTTTGGTTAGAGAGTTTTGCTTACGCGCAATAGCCAGGAAGAAGAGAATGATAATGATGGACATCTTGTTGAAGCGTGGATGCTGAGTGAATTCGTCTGAACCTATCTCTGGTTGCTTACCATTTTATACTTTTTAAACTCACCAGGCTTTCATGTTTCACCTCATTAATTAGTGAGACAACAAGGATAATTTATTGCGTGTTTGTATGTTTGCTCCAACGTTTTCTTGAAACATGCAATAAGATAAATTCTTCCGCCGGTTAAAAAGGTCATTCTAGGACAGATTCCTGACACACAAATTATTTTACCTTTCAATACTTATAAATTATGGAGTTTAAGTGATGATTTAAATTGAGTCTCGGAATAAACAAACTTAAGTTCAAATTCAATCATAAGTCTATTGATGCGTATACCTGTAACGGAATTATGTTTTAATGAAGAGTTTTCAAGTTGGAATATAACTTCAGCCTTTCTTGAAATCCTCAGACATTTATTGAATATTTATTTAGCACGCATGCGCCATCGAGTCTTTCATTAATTTACCATTCTTATTCGTGTAGCGTCGACAACTCAGCCCCAAGATGGCCATTCCTCATTTAATCATTCGTCTTCTTCACGCAAACATTTGGTTTTATTTCACTCCCTGAATGAAATAGCAAATTCACGGACGTCCTTGGGATATACCCAGATATTTTCTCCCTAATACTGCCACTAATTTGTATGCAGCCAATACCTGAGGATTCACAGGGTCACGGTTCAATGGACTAAAAGTACCATTGCAATTTATGGAGTATCACATGGACACCCTTTTCTTCAGAATTCATTTGCACCTATTCTCCGTGTTGTTCATCTCCACTAAAAATTAACGGAATATTAACCGCTTTCTCCCATTCGAGATGTCCGCGAAGTGTTCAAAAGAGGCTATTATTCATACTTTCAGCTGGGAGTAAGCCTCAAGATTGATCACCAACTTTATTTCCTCAATTTTTTTAGGAAGTGATAATAAAATCAACTATTTTGCCTCAAGAAGCTTTGGCAACTTTTATGCGCCCAAAGTGGATAGTAAAGATGTTTGGTATGGTGAAGCCAAAGCAATCACAATCGGCATTGTTATCTTCTCTTAGCAGCTTTTACTTTCTAGTCAGTCTCTTTCAATTGTGAAAAAAATGTTCTTTTACATTTGGCTGTTTCCCTTAAATGGGCCTTACTTCAATCTCGAAAAATAACCACCTCGTAAATCACGGTATTGTAGCGGATTGCTACCTTAGTAAAGCCTGACTGACTCAGAAATCTCTATGGCAGATTCTCCTACATCTAGCTAGACTCCCAGAACCAGCTAAGCTATACCCCAGCTATAAAGGAAGCAGACGTGTAGCAAGGAGCACGTTTATTCAGTACGGGTATTACGGATAAAGTGTACACACAGGGAGCTACTCATGATCAGGATGGGGATTAGGTTAAACAGAGGTTAATGATTGGTCACTGTTTGTACGGTCGCTGCACACAGAGTTGCATGGACACACCTCCCAAACCTGGCGAGCAGACATGCAGGCATACGATGACGCACGCAGCGATAACGTGTGCCACAGTATCTAAACCACATAAATTTTCTTTTTTTCAATATTGAATCCTATTTAACTCCTAGTGAAGTAAATGAAAAATATGTTCGAAGATTCAATCAAATAAACGACTTTTCGTAGAATAAACCTTAATAATACTTCACCTAAATGTAGACATTAGCACCACTGAAAGAAAATTATCGCCAAGTTTGGATGAAATCTCTTTAAAGTTCCATAT